CCGGAAATCTTGTTGTGATAGATGGCAATGGTCATAACATAATGACCATGATAATAGTTTATGGCAGAGTTTTGATTACCCAGGTGATACATTAATATCAGGTATGAAGCTTGTTAGGAACAAAATCACAGGTTTTAATTGGCATCTTACACCCTGGAAAAGCCCCCAGGATCCTTCTCAAGGACATTATGCATATCAACTTGGTCTTTATGGATACCATGAATTAATTCTGAGGGAGGGTTCTGTTATAAAATATCGGACTGCACCATGGAATGGAATCCAATTTAGTGGGATGCATAATTTAAATCCAACATATGATTTTGTGTTTGGATAATAATGATGAAGTATATTATGGTTATAAACTTCTCAACAGCTCAACTCTTTTCAGGCTGGCGTTAACTCAAGATGGATTTGGGCTGTGCTACATCGGGAGTGATGGAAACCAAGGTTGGGTCGTTTATCTAATATAGTAACGACTGATATCTGTGACAAATATGGAATATGTGGTCCGAATGGTGCATGTAGTATTGACAAGTCCCCAATATGTAGCTGCTTGAAAGGATTTATACTGAACTTTCAACAAGACTGGGACTTGGTGGATTGGTCATGTAGCTGTGTCAGAAAGAGCCAATTGAATTGCAGTGGAGACATCTTTAAGAAGTACTCTGGGGTGAAATTGCCAAGTACAGAACAATCCTGGTATAACACAAGTATGAACCTCAAGGAATGTGATCGATGATGTGCATGAACAACTGCTCCTGCACCGCTTTTTCAAATTTGGATATCAGAGATGGAGGAAGGGGGTGCTTGCTGTGGTTCAGCGATCTGGTTGATATAAGATATTCCAATATAAATGGGCAATTTACTCGGCTTCATCAGAGCTAGGTATGGAATCATCTTGCTGTTTAAAACAAAGTTTGAAAGAAAAATAAAAGCCACCAAGGAAAAAAGAAGAAAGAAATCTTCCAGCAGTGACATGATTAGAAACAAGATAGAGCCAGAAAACTTTTGACATTATTAGAAAAAATATTTCTTTAGAATTGTCTCAGAAACTAGCATTTATTGTTCATTGGATGATAAAAAGTAAAGGTTTTTATTTTTTATTTTCTTGAATTTCTGACTCCTCAATCTTCTGCTTTCAAATACTTCATTCCTAGATCAAGGACACAACACAAAGATCAAAATTACCAGTACTGTGTTGTCTACTGGACCGCTGATCCTGGGCTCATGTTCAATACACGTATTTTTTACAAAAAATTCAGTAAGACACACAAAATTCACGTACTACACATGTATTACAGAATAAAAATAATATATACCTTAAAAAAACGGCATAGCCGAACGGCTGTGCTCAGTATTCCCTAATTGTTTTTCAAAAAAATCGTTTTTGCATTAAAAATAGTATAGCCGGACGGCTTTACCTCTGTGATACGTGGGCTTAATATATATATATATATATATAATAGTATAATAGTATAGCCGTGCGGCAGTACTCGTTTTCCCCTAATTTTTTTTTTAAAAAATAGCATTTACACTTTTGACACCTGGCACCTACATACACATAGTATAGCCGTGCGGCTATACTATTTTTTACTTTCAATATTAAAAAAAATAAAATATGTTTCTTTACTTTTGTTTTTTGGCCTACTTCTTTAATTTACTATAC